TCAGAGCCAAAATATAAGGACAAATTATAAGAAGTTGAATAAGATAAGAGGCTAGGAAGAGATGACCTGTGACCATGATAATAATATGATAAGAATACCTGCCTACGAGTAAAGCTTATGAGACACGTATGAGAAGATGACGTGCATGGAATAAAATGGAAAAAACTGATCATATGGACCTTCTTTGAAACTATTTTTAATCAAGAGCAAAATTCTTTGGAAAAACAGAAAATGCAGTCATACAATAGTTTACAAGATGTTAGTTGAGCTTACTTCTACTTCGAATGAAAGTGTTAGGTGAAGAGATTCGAAGGTCAGTTCCACCAGAATACGACGGCGGATTCCTCTTGACCAGCTGTCGATTAGCTTTACTGAAAGAGTCATGCTGACGCTGTTTCCGAGGTAATCTCCTTCGATTCCGACGAAAAGGTTCTAAGCTTTCGTCCGTCATCAGAGCAAGGTATCATTGTCACAACCAAATTTAAGCTTCTGGTGGAATCGACCTTAGAATCTCTTCACCCAAGATAGAAGTAGTTGAGTTTTCTTGACTCGTTACAATGATACCTTGCTCTGATGATCATCATCATATGACGGACGAAAGCTTAGCACCTTTTCACCGAAATCGAAGGAAATTGCCTCGGAAACAGCGTCAGCAGGAATTTTCTAGTAAAGCCAATTGACAGCTGGTCAAGAAGAATCCGCCGTCGTCTTCTGGTGGAACCGACCTTCGAATCTCTTCAACCAACTCTTTCACTCGAAATGGAAGTAAGTTCAACAATAATGTTGAGTGTCTGAAACCTATAAAAAAAGAGTCCATAGATCAAATGAAGAAACGCCTATTGAGACATGCATACTGATAAAGTCATACCTAACTCTAGATATGTCAATTACAAGTGCGTCAGATTCTTGCTGCCCAAGGCCGGTGTCGCTATCACCGCTAGTATTGTTACTGCTTGAAGAGTGCTGGTCATCCCGTTTATCGTCACCCTCTTCGTACGGAAAGACACGAGCTCGAGATGTCCAGAGGTACACCGGCCAGACGTGATGTGTTGACTTCTCTTCATCACTATCACCTCCTCCTTCACCGACCTCATCTCCTAATTCATTCTCGGAATTAAAAGTGCAGACATTTTTTGGCTGCCTTGACTTCCGACCACAGGGCTGTGGCCTGCCTGAACGGGCTTTTTGTTTACTTTTCTGAACGCCATTTTCAGACAAGAGTGTGTTTGGTTCTTGCGATGAAGTGCAGGTAAGACCAAACAGACGGACTGGAAAGAATCCGAGCAGACCAGGTTTGTTAGCCATTTGGCTAAGAAGGCTGGCCCGGGCACGCGAGAACCTGAGATTTGGCGAGGCTTTAGCAAGCTCCACACATTTGTCCCCAGCGTCCGTCGCTTGTCTTCCAAACTTCTCCCTTTCAGGTCTCTTTGCAAGCTCTCTGGGCCGATTGGCAATCCTGCCGAAGTCAGCCTCAGCCTCTGCCTCATTTTCCAAATTTTCCTCGTCTTCAGATTCTGAAAATGGCAGTCTTGTGGGCGCCACAACCTCTGCTGGCCACCATGGCATACCACCTACGAGGCTAGCAAAATCCGGAGGCCGTAGACAATTAGGCGAAAATTCGACCAGAGAGTCACTTGCTTGGGCTGGGTTTCCAGAACTGGGAATAGCGGCTGCCTGTTGGTTAAGCGGCGGCGGTAGACGAACCCAAAAGATCTCACCATAGCGGGGCATACGACCGTTTGTACAGTCTTCACATATGAATTTGTCTGGCACCTACATAGGAAAGCCATAAAGCAAGTAGTATGGAAGTAGAGTAAGAGAATGAAAATAAGTAAATAAATTGATGTAGTAAGATTCCAAGTAAAAAGTAGGATAGCAAATCTGATAGTACGAGAGAAAAGTTTTGGATAATTTGGTCTAGGTCTTTGTACTAATGACGCTTATTCATCAGAATTATGATTTCTACACATTTTAGAAGATTCGAAAAAGGTCACTCAAGGACTGGAATCAAACAAACATCAGATATCTCAATCTTCTTGAGTTTTCTTTCAACATAGACTTTCCAGTCAATAAAAGTAGTAGAATAGAGACAAATACAAAGGCTTTCATATAATATATTTGGGATATTCAGTTAGAGCCGATAACCCACTTTGCCCACGTTGAGACATTCTTCATGAAACGAGGCCGGACAAGACTCGCAGCAGACGATGCGGCCTCCCTTGGAGCAGATGAAACACCATGAGACATTGGTTGGCCGTAACATGGCACGTAGACGAGGTGGATAGACGCCAGCACTGGAGGATAGTAGCCCGGCAAGCTTAGTCACCTGAGCCCGTCTGCTCGGAGAAACGGGACTCAAACTAAGGCTTGAGCACGGAATTTCTAGTTGAGTAGTATCAAAAGCCATAGTATCCGTGGCTGGCATGGTACTAACACCGCTAGTATGAAGTTTAAATTCATCAGCCTCCGGATGGTTACTTGAATCAATCGTGGTCTTGATCGTATCCTCCACAGCATATTGTTTTTTGCATGGTGCTGCTACTTCGGGAAAAGGGAAATTACGCCAAAATATGCTGAGTCCAGTAGTGGTGTCTTTGGCGTGTCTGGGACACACAATCCAGTTAGGCGCCACCTGAAAGAAAAGTCAAGAAAATAAAAATAGCATCAGGCACGATGCAAGAACGCAAATACATTAATCAACTTTGTTTAAGTGACCTAGTTGGAACTTACTTCCGCTACTCTGCAGCAGGGATAGGCTTCTGATCAATTGCAAAAAAGAGAACCTTGATATAGAGAAAACCAGCTTGCTAAACAAAAAAGGGCTGGCTTACAGTATTACTATCTAGTTATAATTAGATAGATTGGAATAAATTTACATGTTAACTCAGAACAAAAAAACGAAAGTTTAACAAAAAGATTTGATAACGATCTCAGAAAAAACGCGGAATCTATTAGCATTTCTTTATACATTAAATAGTCCCATCAGATACAATCTAGCAAAACGTTGTGGGCTAAATGTGAATATATATGGGACTTGAAAATTTAAGGTTAGTTAGCCCTCTAACTACATAATATGCGATGACACCAATTCAGAAAGCCAAATTGTATGTCGAAACCGAGTAGTAAATTTAAGTTTCCTTAGATTATAGGTTCTCTAACTTTATGGCTGGTATGAAAATTAGTGAATATGAGTGCATTTCAAACGTATGAGCACGAAATATATTTCTAAAGGGTCACTTAAGAGTATATCTTCAAAATGTAATTTCCACCCAAGAAATAATAATTCAGGTTGGCCTCTAGATAGGCAAGAAAAGTAAATTATGTAAGTATATTTTGTGTACAGAAGTTGATATGGTAATTAGGATGATAAGGGTGATGGGTAGAAATTAACAATGCGATTGATGTATTTTTGACTCATTTAAGGGGCGAATGGGTGCAATGACATGTCAGCTCTGAATTGAAAAAATAATAATAATTTATCATTTATGTATAATTGCTAATGCTCTTGAGAAGCCTAGGGGGTAAAGGAGATAGAATACGAGTAAGGAGCGCAAATCCCATTGTTTAGCATATCTGGACGGGAACATGTAAATACATAAGTGCAAGATTATTCGAAAGAAATGCTTAATTGAAGAAAATATATAAAGAAATCTTAAAGTAAAAAAGAATGCGGTTTCTGTTAACAAGAAATCCTATAAAGAGGTGAAGCATAGTCTATTTTTAATCATATATTGAAGTTTAAATATCTGTCCAGATAATGGTGGAGCTAACAAGCACTTCACATTAAGATCTATTTAATTTTATTGCCATTACTTCTTTAATTGTACGTCGTAAAGAATTTTTTCATATGAGGAATTCGATTGAATCATAAACTAGTGGTAACTCACTTCTTGGCAGCCGGCAGGTAGACACCATTGGCCTGGATGGTAAGCAGCCGGGCAGCGGAGGCAACGGGTTAGCCTAATATCAAAGAAGGGTTATATAATAAGGTTTATAATAATGTAAGGTGGAATATGAAGAATTAAAATTCGAATTAGGAGTAGATTAGGTGGAAATCTTTCAAAGTAAACTATTTTATAAAAAATAGGTGGCATGAAACCTTTTCGAATACCAAAACCTTACCAACTCGCCTTTATTCTAAATAACTGATAAATGG